TCCGAAGCCTCCAGCACCCAAAATCTGACTTCGAACAGGGCGCTCACCGCTACACATGAGGAATGCGGATAGGCTCGAAGCCCCGGGCACCCCCCGAACTGCCCCAAAACAGAAGAACGAAAAACACACGTCTTCGCAATGCCCAGTCACACGACTCACATGAGTCCCAAAATGTGGCGGTGCGTGTTTGTGGACTTGTTGATGCAAGACAGACAAGGCCAGCCATGCGACCAATCATTGAAAATACATGTCCAAGCATCCTCCGCCCACTCAACGCACATCGATGTGATGCGATATCCGTGAGGTTGCTGCGCCAGCACGAAACTGGCTTCGAACACTCTGTGCCTCATCTCTCCACCTCGATGCACAACGATCAGACGGTGTGATCAAGGTGCCCCCAAAAAGCTCTGCGGAAGCATGAGGCCTAACCAAGATCCGCCGAAAGCCAAAACGCATGGCTGCTGGGAATATGAGCCGCGTGTGCGTGAGAAGAGGCGGAGAGGGAGGAGGAGGAAGAGGAGGAGGAGAAGGAGGAGGCGGAGGAGGAGGCGGAGACGGAGGAGGAGGAGGAGAGGGAGGAGAGGGAGGAAGGAGCAGGAGGAGGAGAAGAAGAGGGATCATTCCTTGTCGTCCACCTCCTCCCTTTTGTCCCTGCCCATCCTTCTCCTCCTCCTTCCTCCTTCCCTCTCTCCCTCCCTCGATTCTCCTCCTCCTCCTCCTCCTCCTCCTCCTCCTCCTCCTCCTCCTCCTCCTCCTCCTCCTCCTCCTCCTCCTCGTCCGAGAGGCGGGAGGAGGAAGAGAGGAGGAGGAGGAGGAGGAGGACGACGAGGAGGACGAGGAGGAGGAGGAGGAGAGGAGGAGGAGGGAGGAGGAGGGACGATGGAGGGAGGATGGAGGGAGAAGGATGGAAGAGGAGGAGGAGGAGGAGGAGGAGGAGGAGGAGGAGGAGGAGGAGGAGGAGGGAGGAGGAGGGAGGATGGCCTCGTCGAGTTCCAGCGCTGGCGACCGCTGGGCACGCACAGCCAGCTGCACCGAGGTGGCAGCACCCTGCTGCCAACAGTCCGCCCGCGCCACCTGCAAGCCGTCACCGAGTGACGGCGGAGGCTGCGGCTCCGCCGGCGGAGCCTGGCACTGCTGCGGCGCGCGCTCCTCGTGCGGCTGGTCGGGGAGCGCCCTCGCCGACGCCACCTCCGACCACTCCTCTGGCCCACAACGCGCGGGCACGGCGAGCTCGGCCGCAGGGAGGCCCTGCATCGGCGTCGCGCACGTCCTCGCCGTCGCCTCCTTACACAAGGCGCACGCCATCGCCGCCTCGCCCGGCGCGGCGGGCCCCGCCACGACGACGTCGGGCTCCTGCGGGCCGGCTTCGTCTGCCACCACGAGCTCCTTTCGGGGGTTGTCAAAGGTGTCCCTGTCCCTGGCCCAAGGTGTCCCCAGGATTTCCCACGAGGCCCGAATCGCCTCCAGGGTACCCCTCACAGACTACCTACCAGGCCACCCCAACCTAACCCGAAGCCCCAAATTTCGGGTTGGGGGGGGGTACGGGCTCCACATGTGTTTTTTCATTTCAATGTTCCCCGAAGCCCCCCCAACTGGGCATGGAGGGCAATTGGGGCCTTCTGGTTGGGTTGGGCTCACGAGGCCCAGAGGGCCCCCAAATGCTCCAAAATGGCGCGAAAGGCCGGGGACACGTTTGGCCAGGACCACTTCCAGCAACACCCGATCCTTCAGCCGCAGGGCAGCCGGCTCCGGCACCGGCTCTAGGCGCCCGGGGCCGTCGCAGTGGTCGGGCAACTCTTGGATACCGAAGAGCCGGCAGACCTCGGCTGCACGTAGAAGTGACCCTAGGCAAGAATGACCTTTGGTGCGCGGCCCTTGAGGGGCGCGAGGGGGCCAAACCCCAGAGCGCAGGCCGCTGCTATCGCGTCGCATTCGGCGCTCGGGGGGGGGGTGCCCCATGGGCCCGCACCAAAGGTCACTCTGGCGAAGGGCCACTCTTGAGTGTAGTCGAAGACCTCGGCCGGCGAGGGCACCGCCGGCGAGGGCTCGAAGACCGCGAGCTCCATGCGCTCCGCCCTGTTGGTGCCCACGCTCCGCGCCCGGCGCGAGGGCCTGGGAGCAGCTCTGCCGCCAGGCCCGGGCGGCGCCGCGGCGCCGCCCGCGGCGGCGGCCGCCCTGGCCCCCGCCGCGCTCTGGGCCCTCGACGAGGCGCCGCCGCGCCGCCGCGCCGTCGAGGCACCGCCCGCCGGGGCCCCGCCTGGGAGCAGAAGCGGCACATGACAGGAGGGTACCAAGCAGGCACCTACACCGATCCTGGCCAGGCCGATCCTGGGCCCAGGATCGGTGTATACGTCCTCCTGTCTTGGGAACGAAGGCATATACACCGATCCTGGGCCCAGGATCAGCCTGGCCGGGATCGGTGTAGGTGAATAGATGATACCCTCCGAGCGCAGTCATAAACTCTGGGAGGTCCGCGCGGATTGCTCGGATCGACGCTGGACCCCCCTCCCTGCGCGCCATGGGCGGCGCCGCAGGCGCTGCCAGGGGGCCCAAGGCCGATCCGAGAAACCTGCGCGGAGCTCGGCAAGTTTATGTCTGTGTATTTGTTCTGCTGCGACCGTCGTCGCCGAGGCGCGGCGGGAAAGCGAACGCGCCCTTGCCCCCAGGGCTGCCGGCCGCTGGCCTGGTGGACCGGGGCGTGCCCAGCTCTGGCGGCGCAGCGCCCTCCCCGCGGCTCTCGCGCGGAAGCGGCGACAGCTCCAGCAGCGCGCCCGTGTCCAGCAGCCGCTGCGAGGACTGCCTGACCTCAGCCGCGGGGGAGGGGAAGGCGCAGGATCCGTTGGTATCGGATCGGGAGACCGGGTCTGATCGGAAAGCGCGTCGGCTCGGGCTGCATCGGCACGGAATCGAGATCGGATCGGGTCGGCTGCGCCAGGATGCACATCACCGCCCCATGCAAGCATCGGGTCCAATGTTCAAAATAGTGAGGCTATCCAAAGCGAAACAGCCCCAACAAAAAACTACGGCTTCAATCAATCGCTGATGATCTCTACTGCCTTGGAGGGGTGCGTGTGATCGTATACAGATGCATATATAGATATAGATGTGTGGGCACGCACGAACACAAGTACGTACATACCTACATACATGTATACAGACATGCAAACACACACATACAGGCATGCATACAGACATACAAACATACGTACATGTATACATATGAACATACAAGTATACATGCATGCATGCACACATGCATGCATACATACATAGAGACATGTGTATACCTGCGCATAAATACATGCACACCGACTTGCACGCATGCGTACTACATATATCCGTACATGCATGCAGACATAGAGACATGTGTGTACACCTTCGCATACATACATACACATCGACTTGCACGCATGCGTACTACATATATCCGTACATGCATACATGCATTCACACCTGCATGCACATACATGTATGCATACATGTTTAAGAGTCCGCATACAAATGCATACACATACACACTTGTGCATGTATATACTTCTATGAGTACACAAGCGTCTACACATACACATTCACTGTCATTGGCAAATATACACGTACATCTACATGGTCATACCTATACGTGCACATACACATACGCAGATGCTGCATAGCGTTACAGACGCATGTGAATGTTTCAGTATATGCACACATACATAATCGTATACAGCTACGTATGTCCTTTCATGCACGTATATATATACATACACAGATACATGCATCAGTCCAAATACATATACTCACACAGATGCATAAACACGTACAATTGCCAAAACATACAAACCTACAGACATACAAATTACATATATATAATATATATACACACACCAACTATGTGCATATGTACCAGGCACGACGAGGAAGAGAGTAGGGCGAGGAGGAAGAGGAAAAACTCTCTTTACGGGCCTTAATAGATGGGCCGACGTGGCCGAGTCCTCGGGGACGGCTGTCCTGGTTCTGCAGGTGCAAGTTTCGTATCACCACTCCTGCCGCGAAAACTGATTGTAGCCTCCAGGGCATCGACTTGGAGCCTTCGTCTGTCAATGATTAGTTGTAGATGACCCTTCTGAGAGCACCTCCTCCACATACTCCGTCTTCCCCCCGTCATCCTCCGTATCTTCTGTCTCCTCCTCCACCACCTCCTCCTCCTCCCTGTTCTTGCTCCTCCTCCTCATCCTCTTCGTCCTCCGCCTCTATCCTCCTCATCCTCATCCTCCTCATCCTCCTCCTCCTCATCATACTACTTCTCCTCCTCCTCCTAATCATCATCATCATCCCCATCCTCATCCGGATCCTCGTCCTCAGTCCTCATCGTCCTCATCATCATCCTCCCTCCTACCACCTCCAACTCCCCGATGACGACGCCGACGCCGACGCCGACGCCGCCACCGCTGCCACCGCCGCCGCCGCCGACGACGACAATGACGACGACGAACTGGCGGGCCGGTCAAAGCGCCGGGCCAGCCGGGGGCTCCCCGAGGGGCTCCGCGGCGACTGCAGTGGACTCCAGCACGGGCTGCTGGCGGCGCGCGGGGGCGAGGGCCACGACCACCACGACCACATCGAGGGCCAGCCACGACGACGAATGCGAGGGGGAGGACCGCCCCTTCGCGATCGTCGTCGTGGTTGCGGTCGTCGTCGTGGTCGTCGCCGTAGTCGTCGCCGTGGTCGTCGTCCTCGTCGGCGTCGCGGTAGCGGATTCACCGAGTCTGTCGCGCATCGCACAAACCGCCAGGGGAAGGAGCCGAAGCACAGTGGCTCCGACAGCCCCACCTGAAATCAAATCTCCGAGAACAACATAGAAGAAACCGAAGGGAAGCCTCCGCGGACGAAAATTCCCTGGAGACGCAAAGACGAGGGCGACAAACGACACGCAGGACGTGGGCATAGCTTTAGAAAATGGAGCATGAAAAATGCAACACATGTTGAACAACCATCAAAGAAGGCAAGACAGCGAGCACAACATCTGATATTCACACGCCCGCACTGATCTTTGTTGCAAGGCGGGCGCTACAAGTTGACTCATGCAGTCCTGAGCGGTAAAGGGCTTGTACAGTTCTGAAAGGTCTGGACCCCTGGATTCCCACGCGCTTCTGGGCACTTCCGGGCGATGCTGGGGCTTCCCGCGTGGGCCTCCGCGACGGTGGCCTCGCCCAAAACAACCCGAAGAACCCTTCTGAGAAGACGCCCTTCAACCTTGAACCCCCCCTAAGGCGGAGCAAGAGAGTCCCCAAGAGCTACCCCAGGAGCATCTGACAAGAGCTCGCCCTGGCGGTGACGGCCGCCCTTGTGGCAGCGGCCGCGGATCGCGACTGCTGTGTCGCAGGCGCACGAAGTTGCCGCCTTGCAAAGCACGCCGCTGCTCATGCCTTGCGCTCTTCTCGATCTGCGCGGCACGAGCGCCGCAGCCTCGTTGCCCGCCGGTGCCAGGCAGGCGAGAGGCAGCGAGCTCGAGAAGCCACGCGTGGGCGAGCGCCGCCGTGCACCGTGCCAACCGCCAGGCTCGTCGCCAAAGGGATGCGCGCGCACGTCCGAGTGGGCAGCGCGTTGGGATCCCGCCTCTGCCGCAGAGGTCGCGCCAAAACCGTGCGGCAGTCGACGTGCATCGCTTCTGGAGAACAAGTATTGCTGGCCAGTGGAAAAGATTCCTGGCGCTCTCGCCTCGACGGCTGCATGTTCTCTGAGCGCGACACTCCCGCTCGACCGTGGACGTGTTCCCAGATCCCGCTTGTTAAAACCCAGCATCGACCACAACGACTCCCGCTAAATACTACCCCACAACTTACCACCCTGGCCAGAGAGAATCCCAAACTCAGGAACGGCGCTCTGGCTGGGAAACTTCCTCACAATTCAACCTGGTTGGTGAAGGCCCAGCTACCACAGCATCGGTGCCCGCGAGATACGTCCCTGCCAATTACTCCAAGGCACCGTCCAGAGAGGCCCCAAAACTCAGGAACGGCGCCCTCGCCCGAGAGATCCTCACAACTACGACGACAACAGCACCCGCTCGAGACTTCCTCATAACTGTACTCGCGTGCGCCCGTGTCATATGCATTTACACACTTACGAATATCGCTTTCGTCCGAGGCTCCCTCAAAATTCACTCACAGTGGCGAAATCCCAGCTACGACGACAGGAGCTAGTATGAAAAGAAGCCCCCCAAAAAAGGGGATTGGTTCATAGACTTGGCTGGCGGGTACAAGGAAGGGGGAGAAGGGGAGTAACAAATGAAGGTCAAAGCAGCTTCTTACATCAAGCTGTCGCAAGATGATCGTCGTCGACGTCGTGGGCGTCGTCGTGGTCGTGGTCGACGTCGCTGGTTTGGTCAGCGTCATCGTTGTCGCCGTGGTCATCCCGCACGAGCTGCCCGCGGTGTGCGAGGGCGAGGTCGACGACGACGATGACGACCAGTGCATCTTCGATCACACCCGCTCCCCTCAAGAAGCACACGCTCTGCGAAGACATTTCCTAGATACGTCGCCGTGACAAACGTTTCACCGTCTGTCTATGACCGATGCATCTCCCGTCCCTCTCAAGAGTCCTAACACTACACAGGGCTGGCGGCGTTCGGCGGAGACATGTCGATCCCCCCAATGGATGTTGACTGTGTTAGGTCAATAAAAAATCGGGCACTATCCCGAGCCAAATTACACAATTCATCGCACGGGACGCGCTTCCACGCGGAATAGGTACTAATCCGACTCCTCCGCCTTCTCGGCCGACTTACCATCACTGCAAGCCGGAATCATGAAAACTTCCACCACGGCGACGTCTTGCACTGATCACGACTGAGGCACTCGCATACCCCCAGCAAAGCGAATAACAAGTGCAACCTCCGATTGACGATTGCATTGGAGACGAGACGGGACGCGCAGCTGAGCTGACGAGGTCTCGCGCTCCTGTTGCTTTCGTAGTCGCACTGCAGCATCAAACATGCCTTACCCTCATCGTCTCGTCCAGCTGGCTCCCAACCCCCACTCCAATCCCACCCAGAAAATGTTCAAAGCTGAAGAATCCCAGCATCACTCGGAGCATTTTCCCTTCCCGCATGGAAATAACTCTGCCCAAACTTTGCGACTTGACATCGGGAACTGAGAAATACGAACTCACTGTATGCTTTCGAAACACACGGGTGGTGAACGCAGACAAAAAATCAAATGATGACCTGTCTGAACCCACACTTGGCGTGATTACGGCAAAAGCAAAAGAGCGCGCCTTGGGAAGAAGGCGTGATTATGCTGGAGCTTGTCCAGCAAAGGCGGCTCGGCTACCTGGCATTGCAGCACATCGGACGCATTAAACGATCATTCAAAGCCCAAGCGGGAGGGGCCATCCTACCAGTCAAAAAGCAAGACAACATCGACTTGTCTCTTCCCAACGTCGACTAGTACTAGTACTACTACTACTACTACTACTACTACTACTACTACTACTACTACTACTACTACTACTACTACTACTACT